TCTCTCTCTCAGCCCTTGGGTCTTCTAGAATCTCACAGAAAGAGAAGCCACAGAGCCTGGAATCCATGGTACCTTTAGGAGCCCACAAATATGTTTTGATTTCTTTAAAATCCGTAGGAAAAAAAATGAAAAGGATCCAAACTGGATTCCATTCATTGTTATAATCATACAACAAAACATAATTTTTATTATTTTTTGAAGGAAACATAATTTCCTTTTTTTTTTATGTTTTATTTTTTGGAGATGGGGTCTCTCTGTGTTACTCAGGCTAGAATGCAGTAGCATGATCATAGCTTACTGCAGCCTCAAATTCCTGGCCTCAGGCAGTCCTCCTGCCTCAGCCTTTAGAGTAGCTGGGACTATTGGCATGTGCCACCACACCCAGCTAATTTTTAAAATTCTTTTCGAGAGAGGGGGCTTGCCACGTTGCCCAGGCTGGTCTCGAACTCTTGGCCTCAAGGGATTCTCTCAGCCTCCTGAGTAGCTGGGATTCCAGGCAAGAGCCACCACGCCCAGCCAGTTTTTAATATTTTTTTAGTGGAGAAAGGGGCCCATGAAGGCAAAAGTACTCAGTGACCAAGTCCAGTCTCAAGCCTTCTCAAAAGATCCAGATGACAACAACAGTAATAGGAAGAGCAAACATTTACACAGTCCTTACCATATGCCAGGCTCTTCTTCCAACAGCCCTAGGGGGGAGGTACCTTTTTCTTTTCTTTTCTTTTCTTTTTTTTTTTTTTTTTTGAGACAGAGTCTCTCTCAGTCACCGAGGCTGGAGTGCAATGTCGTGATCTCAGCTCACTGAAATCTTCACCTCCCAAATTCAAGCAATTTTCCCACCTCAGCCTCCCAAGTAGCTGGGATGACAGGCACCCACCATCACACTTGGCTAATTTTTATATTTTTAGCAGAGACGGGATTTCACTCTGTTGGCCAGGCTGGTCTTGAACTATCAACCTCAGGTGATCTGCCCGACTGGGCCTCCCAAAGTGCTGGGATTAAAGGCATGAGCCACTGCGCCCAGCCCGGAAGTACCATTTTCACTCTCACTTTATAAACAAGGAAGCACAGAGAGGTTGAGTCACAACTGCAAGGTCACACAGCTAGGATGCAATAGTGCTGGGTTTTCCCTCCTTGTTGGATATAGTCCAACCCTAAGCAAACCACTCAACACCCATCTTCAGCATCTGAAACAGATTAAGGGCGACCTCAGTTTTCTCCCAGGACAATTGTTTGGTGCTGCCTTACATAAAGGCTTCTTCCTGTAGATGTCTCAAAACAAGCAAATTTCCCTATAGCCAAGCAGCCAGCAACCTCCCTCCAAAAAGATCAGTTTCTCTGTGAACCTCGAAGAGCTAACAATACCTGGCTTCGAATAGCTAACAATGCCTTCACCTGGCACCTCATCACCAACCCATTTGTGGCTATTTCTATGTTTGTGTACTCGTTTGAATGTGTGGTCCATGGCTCTGCTTGGCTCTACACATAACTAAATGCTTTATATGTATGTCATCAGCGTGTGCATATCTGTGGACATGGAGAGGATGTGTGCATGTGTGTGTGTGCATATGTCTGTGTGCGTGCGTGTGTGTGTATGTGTGTCACCTGTCTGGGTATACCTGTGCACCCATGAGCATGTATACGCACCTGAGATGCGTGCTAAGAAGTTGCTATATCTCCGAGTATAAACTGATGAGCGCCTACAAGGAGAAGCCCAGTTAATTCATTTTCCCAGGTTGATCAAAGGACATGAGAGAAACTGAGGCCCAGAGAGGTCGCTCGGGGTCTGGGGTCACCCATTCCGTCACTGACTGAGATGGAAGCCAGGTGTCTTGCCTCCTGCCTTCAGACCCTGCTAATTTCCAAGACCTGCCACCTAGCTCAAGCCGTATCTCTACTATGTTCTCCGTCTCCAGGCTAGAGTGACCCTTTCCAAGGCTTGGCAACCAACAGCCCTGGGTCTGAAGCAGACGGGGCAATAGCCACGGATACCTCTGCAGGCCACACGACCAGCCTCCCAAATGAAACAGAAAATCCCCACAGCCTGAAGTCCCCAAATGTCCCAGGACTGAGGCCTTGAAGTTACCACAGCCGAATGGAGCCAAATGGAGCATGTTCACATCCCTTGTCTATCTTTCTTTAAAAATCCAATTTATTGATTTTTATATTGCCAAAGTAACATAGGCTTGTTTTTAAAAAGAATTTAAGCTGCATAAAAATGTGTTTAAGTTAGAGACCAGCCACGGTGACTCACACCTGTAATCCCAGCACTTTGGGAGGCCGAGGCAGACAGATCACAAGGTCAGGAGCTCAAAACCAGCCTGGCCAACATGGTGAAACCCCATCTCTACTGAAAAATTACAAAAATGACCGGGCATGGTGGCAAGCACCTGTAATTCCAGGTACTTGGGAGGCTGAGGCAGGAGAATTGCCTGAACTCAGGAGGCAGAGGGTGCAGTGAGCCAAGACTGCGCCACTGCACTCTAGCCTGGGCATCGGAGCAAAATTCTTTCTCAAAAAAAAAAAAAAAAATTAGCTGGGCATGGTGGCGGGTGCCTATAATCCCAGCTACTCAGAAGGCTGAGGAAGGAGAATTGCTTGAACCCAGGGGTGGAGGTCGCAGTGAGCTGAGATCATTCCACTGCACTACAGCTTGGGCTAAAAAGCAAAACTCCGTCTCAAAAAAAAAAAAAAAGTATAAATTAGAATCCTCCTTCGCCCCCAGATAACCACTATGAATGACAGGGTGTGTAGTGTTCTGAACTCTTCTATCAGGAAAATTTTTTTGTGTGTGTGTGATGGCGTCTCACTCCATCACCCAGGCTGGAGTTCAGTGGCTCAATCTCTGCTCACTGCAATCTCTGCCTCCCAGGCTCAAGCCATTCTCCTGCCTCAGCCTCCCAAGTAGCTGGGATTACAGGCACATGCCACCACACCTGGCTAATTTTTTTGTATTTTTAGTAGAGATGGGGTTTGGTCAGGCTGGTCTTAAACTCCTGACCTTGTGATCCACCCACCTAAGCCTCCCAAAATGCTGGGATTACGGTGTGAGCCATCGCACCTGGCCTCAGGAAACAATTTCTAAAGTAGCCAGTGGGCCCAGCTCAGAAAACAGCCTTCAAGGGGAGCTTGGTATGAGTAGAGGGGAAAAGGAAGACAGAATCTAAACAGCCAAGCTGAAGCTAGGCCTTGAGGTGGATGGATCAAACCACACGTTCCAAGAGATGCCCTGAATGCCAGAGGCTCTCATAGAACTTCTGACCCTCAGTGTTTTGGGCCCTCAGACCTGCCACTGACCTTGACAATCAAGTCATGGAATCACAGGACTGAAAGGGACCTGAGACTCCATCTGGTCCTATTGGCCCATTTTAGAGATGGGGAAACTGAGGGCCTACAACTAAGCTGACTCCAGGAAGGATTCTGGCCAACTAAGCACCTTCCATGGTCTCCTGAGCCTCCACCTCCAACCACAGCCCTGGGGGTAGGGGCAGGAGTGCACCAAGCCCAACAATTAGATGGATGAGACAGAAAGAGAGCCAGGAAGCGATCTAATAGCACTAGAAAGGCAGAGAAGGAGCAGTGTGTCTCCACAGCTTGAAGCACCAGGCTGCTGTTAGAAGCTCCGACTTCAAAATCTGGCTTTGCTGCTGCTCAGCCGTGTGACCCTAGACGGTCACTTACCCGCTGAGTCTCAGCTTCCTCACTTTTATTTTATTTTTGTAGAGACAAAGTCTTGTTCTGTCACCTGTGCTGGAACGCAGTGTGGCACGATCACGGCTCACTGCAGCCTCGAACTCCTGGGCTCAAGCGATCCTCCTGCCTTGACCTCAGGAGTAGCTGGGACTACAGGCATGCACCATTGTGCCTGGTCCTTTCTCATCTCATGTCAGAGCAGATAACAGTGTCTATTTCATGTTGTTGGAAGAATTAAGTGAGATAATACAAGAAGACCTGAGCGCAATGCCTGACACATAGTAGGTGCCCAATAAATAACTAAAGAGTAAGGTAGGGGCCGGACGCGGTGGCTCACACCTGTAATCCTAGCACTTTGGGAGGCTGAGGCAGGCAGATTGCCTGAGCTCAGGAGTTTGAGACCAAGCTGGGCAACATGGTGAAACCATGTCTCTACTAAAATACAAAAAATTGGTGGCATATATCTGTAGTCCCAGCTACTTGGGAGGCTGACAGGAGAATCGCTTGAACTCAGGAGGTAGAGGTTATAGTGAGCCAAGACTCCAGCCTAGGTGACAGAGTAGGACTCCGTCTCAAAAAATAAAGAAATAAAATTTAAAATATTGTGGCTGTGTGCGGTGGCTCACGCCTGTAATCCTAGCACCTTGGGAAGCCTAGGCAGGCAGATCACAAGGTCAGGAGATTGAGACCATCCTGGCTAACATGGTGAAACCCTGTCTCTCCTAAAAATACAAGAAATTAGCCAAGCATGGTAGCATACGCCTGTAGTCCCAGCTACTCAGGAGGTTGAGGTAGAAGAATCGCTTGAACCCAGGAGGCAGAGGTTGCAGTGAGCTGAGATCACACTACTGCACTACAGCCTGGGCAACAGAGGAAGACTCCGTGTCGAAAAAACAAAACAAACAAAAAACACTAGCCTGGCATGGGGGCAGGCACCTGTCATCCCAGCTACACGGGAGGCTAAGGCACAAAAATCACTTGAGCCCGGGAGGTGGAGGTTACAGATGGCTGAGACCGCGCCACTGCACTTTAGCCTGGGTTACAGAGCAAGACTCCATCTCCAATAAATAAATAAGTAAAGTATAAGGTAGGGTGAGGGAATGAACACACACCTCAAGCAGAGTGGGGTGGGGAGTGCCAAAAAGCACCTCAGAATTTTCTGTCTCAGGATCCTTGGAAAATCCATACTTCCAAGAAAGCCCCGTCTCCTGCCCAAATTAAACAGTAACCACCCGAGGTCGGGAAAAGGGCCTTATCAGCGCAGATTTCTCTCTCCAAGGGGCGGTTCGGCCTTGACCAGGTGGACTCACCCCGCTCCTGCCTATAAGTGTGCTCCCAGCCCACGCCGACAGCCAGTCAGTCCTGAGCACCCACACCATGTTGGGCGTCACTGTCCTCACCGCACTCTTGGCCTGCGGTAAGTGGTGGGGTGGGGCTGCCGCCAGCAAGCCGGGGCTGGCCTCCAGGGCGAGGATAGGATGGGAGGGGGGCCTCTGCTCTCCAAGAAAGGCGCCTTAGGGTCCCCTGTGGGTTCAGATGCTACCAACCAGCTGTGTGCCAGACGAGCCACAGCCTGCCTGGTAACTGTTTTCACATCTACAAAACAGGGAAGGTGATCTAACCTGTCCCTGGTTAGAAATGAGACGTGGAAACACCACGTGAGGCGTGGGGACACGAGATGCCCATCCTGGGGTCACCCCAGGGACCGTTGGGATTTGCCTTTCCCAGCACTCTCCCCCTTGGGGATTCTCTATTCCATCATTTTGGTGGCATTTTCCCAGATTAGGAGGCCAGGGACTTGGCTTAAATGCCACTTCTTCTCTGCGGGACCCGGAAAAGTCGCGTCACCGCTCTAAATCTCACTGGCTTTTTTGGCAAAGACGAGCACTTAATTAAGAGTCTTTCCAGCTAACAGCAACGACAGCAGTAAAAACAGCAGCTCCTGCTTCTGTGTGTTTAGTGTGTGCCAGGCACTGTGCTAGGCCCCTTACACGTAGGAGCCAATTTCAACCTCAAAACAACCTTGAGAGGTAGGGTGTATTGCCGGGTGCGGTGGCTCACGCCTGTAATCCCAGCACTTTGGGAGGTCAAGGCAGGTGGATGACTTGAGGTCAGGAGTTTGAGATCAGCCTGGCCACCATGGTGAAACCCCGTCTCTATTAAAAATACCAAAATTAGCCAGGCACGGTGGTGGGCACCTGTAATCGCAGCTATTCAGGAGGCTAAGGCAGAAGAATCGCTTGAACCCAGGAGGTGGAGGTTGCAGTAAGCCGAGATGGGGCCATCGTACTCCAGCCTGGGTGACGAGAGTAAAACTCCATCTCAAAAAAAAAGGTAGGGTCTATTAATAGCCCCATTTTACAGATGAGGACGTCGAGGTTCAGTGTGACTCGTTATCTTGCCTGACATCACATGGCGGGTTGTGGAAGAGGCAGAATTTGAGTCCACATCTGTCTTGCAGAATGGCACACGTTCTTGACCACTCCTCACAGCTTCCCAGCTATCACAGTGGATTTAATGCTCTCTCACACACACCATGATGCAGGGGCCTAGAAAGCAGCAGCAGAACACAGGTGTACCAGGCACTCACACACACGCCACACACATTTTTGTTGTTGTTGTTGAGATGGAGTTTTGCTCTTGCCGCCCAGGCTGGAATGCAATGGCATTATCTCGACTCACTGCAACCTCGGCTTCCCAGGCTCAAGCGATTCTCCTGCCCCAGTCTCCCAAATGGCTGGGATTACATGTGTGCACCACCATGCCCGGCTAATTTTTGTATTTTTAGTAAAGACAGGGTTTCGCCATGTTGGTCAGGCGGGTCTCAAACTCCTGACCTCAAGTCATCCGCTCACCTGGGCCCCCCAAAATGATGGGATTACAGGCGTGAGCCAGCGCGCCCGGCCAAGCTCTTTCTTTCCTATGTGTTGTCTAATTCAGTTCTCAGGACAAACTCACCAGGTTAGTGTGATTCTTCCCATTTCACAGAAAGGGAAGACAAAGCCTAGAGACCGGGGTGGCTTCCCCTCAAGTCACACAGTAAAACACGAACCCCGTGTCCGCCTCGCCCCAAGTCTGTGCTCCTTCCATCTGCCCACCCTCCCACCCCTTTCCCCATGGTCAGCCGGCCCCACTCACCGGCTCTCCTGGCCTCCTGTCTCCTCAGCCTCCAGCTGCGGGGTGCCCAGCTTCCTGCCCAACCTATCCGCCCGAGTGGTGGGAGGAGAGAATGCCCGGCCTCACAGCTGGCCCTGGCAGGTAAGCCTGTGTGGGGCTGGGAGGTAGAGAGAGAGAAGGTGATGGGGTGAGGGCCCACGGACCTACAGGCTGACACACAGCGCTCCCCACCCTCCTGCAGATCTCCCTCCAGTACCTCAAGGATGACACGTGGAGGCACACGTGCGGCGGGACCTTGATTGCCAGCAACTTCGTCCTCACGGCTGCCCACTGCATCAGGTGTGCAGGGATGACGCCCTGAGACCCGGCCGTCATCCAGGGGTGGGAGCCTGAAACTCTGCTTTTACTGAGCAGCTTCTCCACAACCAGGCACTGGCCTACATAAGCTACTCACACGCAGTAACTCAGTTGTGCATTTATTCAGTCAAACATTTATTGTGCATCTACTATATGCCAGGAAACAGCAGTGAAAACAAAGTCTGTGCTCTCAGGAAACTTATATTCTTCTGGCAGGCAGAGCAGCAGACAATTAAATAAATATATAACATCTCCAGTGATAAAAAATAAGGTCTTGGTCAGGTGCTAGCACTGTGGGAGGCCGAGGCAGGAGGATCACCTGAGGTCAGGAGTTCCAGACCAGCCTGGCCAACATAGTGAAAACTGTATCTACTAAAAATACAGAAATTAGCCAGGTGTGATGGCAGGCTCCTATAATCCCAGCTACTAGGGAGGCTGAGGTAGGAGAATAGCTCGACCCCAGGAGATGGAGTTTGCAATGAGCCGAGATTACGCCATTGCACTCCAGCCTGGGCAACAGAGTGAGACTCTATCTCAAAAAAGTAAAAAATACAAAAATAAGTTGGGAAGAGGACAAACAGAATGAGGGGTTCTATTTTAAATGGGATGGCAGGGGAAGAGCTGAAAGGGGGATATTTGGGCAAAGGCCTGAAGGAAGTGAGGGAGGAAATTATGGCCCTAGGGGAAGGGTGTTCCAGGCAGCGAGAACAGCCATGCGAAGGCTTGGAGAAGAGACCTGTCGGTGTGGTTGAGAAATATTGAGGACGCCGCGATGGCAGGGGCAGCGTGTGCTGGAGAGCGGGAGGAAGTGACGGCCACACTGTGCAGGTCAGGCCAGGACTCTGGCTTCGACCCTCAGTAACATGGAGCTGCTGGAAGGGTTTCTCAGCAAAGGAGAGTTGTGGGCTGACGTATTTTTCTATATTCCATAAAATATTTTTAATATATTTTATAAAATATATACTTACAATATATTTCATTTTGTATATTTCATATATACTTTTGTTTTTTGTAGAGACAGGGTCTCGTTCCATAGCCCAGGCCGGAATGCAGTGGTGCCATCGTGGCTCACTGTAGCCTCGATCTCCTGAGCTCAAGTGATCCTCCCACCTCAGCCTCCTGAGTAGCTGGGACTATAAGCACAGACCCCCACACATTCCCAGCTAATGTTTCTTCTTCTTCTTCTTCATTTTTAAAAAAAACTTAGAATCCCAAACCTAACCATGATTTTTCCACTTTTTGTAGAGATGGGGTTTTGCCATGTGCCCAGGCTGCTCTCAAACTCCTGGCCTCAAGAAGTCCTCCCGTCTTGGCCTCCCAAGGTGCTGGGATGACAGGAGTGAGCCACCACGCCTGGCCTGAGATATTTTGTAACTCACGCTGCTGAATTCAGAACAGACAGGAGTAGGCCAGCGCACCAGTGAGAGGCAGTTAGGCGGATGCCACAAACGTGCAGGCAAGAGCGGTGGAAGCTTGGATGAGTTTATTCTCACAGCTGCCCTGGGAGTAAGTTCCAGTATTGCCTCCCTCTTACAAATGAGGGAACTGAGGCACAAGGCTACACAGCCAGGAGAAGAAAGGCCACAACGTGAACCCAAGTCCCTTGACCCCAAGTCCTGGACCCTTTCCCCTGACCCTGGGAAAGGACAGGGGGGACACTCCTTTCCCCCCAACTGAGTCCCACAAAAGCCCTGAGCTTCCTCGCTGTCCCATGGGCTGGCAGGACCAGGGGGCCACCCTGACCTGGTCCCCTTCCTTCACCCAGCAACACCCGGACCTACCGTGTGGGCCTGGGGAAGAACAACCTGGAGGTGGAAGACGAGGAAGGATCCCTGTTCGTGGGTGTGGACACCATCTATGTCCACGAGAAATGGAACTCCTTCCTGGTGCGGTGAGTAATGAGCTGCCCATCCCACGGCCGCTGGGGGCAGTGCGGAAGTCGGGGTCCCCGAGACGGAGCCACAGAGCCTGTCCCACTCGTACCTGTGTTATAAGTAAAATTTCGATGCCGCAAAAAAACAGCACTTGAAGATAAATCATCTCAGCAAGGCGGTTTATTTCTATAGAAGAGTGCGGCTCAAGGATGGAGCCATGGTGGCCGCACACCTGGACAACGAGGGGAAGGGGCACTTATGCCTGACGGGGGACGCCCCTACTGCTGCGTCGCTCCCCTATTGGCTAGGGTTAGACCGCCCAAGCTAGACTAATCCTGATTGGCTATTTTAAAGAAAGCAGGGGTCCGAGCTGGAGTGGCAGGGTGGGTGGTTTGGTGGGAAGGACAGTTATGGGCGGGTCAGAGCAGGCAGCCAGGGGTGACCAAGGTCAAAGAAAGTAACCAGAGCAGGTGACCGGAGCAGGTGACCCGGATGAGTCAGGACGGAGCTGGGGGCCTGGGAAACCGACGTGAACTACCAATTAGAACCGGAGGAGAAGGTTGTTTACTGGATTACAAGGAAGTTAAACTTTAAAATGGAGAATCAAAGAATGAGAGAGCTGAACATACTGACACACTGATTCTTTGAAGAGAAACTTGGGGTTCACTGCATCTAACATCTGACACCCATCCTCACCCTGGACAGCCAGCAAATGACTCTCTTACACAAAATGGCAAAATGCTAAGTGGAGACAAATGCCCCTCTTATCCCCTTCATTGGCCAAGGCTCCCAGGAAGGTCCACAAGGAAGACCCCCACAGTGTCTCTCCAGAGGCTGGGCCTACTGTATGCCCACATTGCAATCACACTTTATATGCCATCTGTTATGTAATCCTCACAACAGTCCTGGACAAAGAACCAAGGCTCAGAGAGGTTAAGAAATGTGTCCGAGGTCACACAGCCCACCGAGGTCCCCAGGTCTGTCTGGGGCGGCCAGCTTTTACTCCTGTAACACGAAAATATGAAAACTGGCATCTGCAAGTGCCATCTTTGGGGATTCGAATTCTCAACTTGCTATAGCCTCTTTCTGACTAAAGCACAGCCAGCAATGGTTTGGAACACTTCCCCCCATCTCCCTCTGTCAGCCCTTCCCCGAGGTGATAATGTGGGAAGCAGCTTGTCAACAGGGCAAGCAACCATGCTGGATGATGAATCATTTGTCCTGGCATCCCCAAAGGCCAAGAAGAAGCTAGCAGTCAGGATGTTTGTGAAGGACTCCTGAGCACCCTTGACCTGACTCCCAACTCACAGCCCGAGCTCCCTAGCCTGGGCTTGGGGGGCCAGGGCCCTCCTGCCCCTCACCTTCTCCATTTTGGATTCCAGCAATGACATTGCCCTCATCAAGCTTGCAGAGCACGTGGAGCTGAGTGACACCATCCAGGTGGCCTGCCTGCCAGAGAAGGACTCCCTGCTCTCCCAGGACTATCCCTGCTATGTCACTGGCTGGGGCCGCCTCTGGAGTGAGTATTGTCCCTGGCAAATCCCGAGAGCCTTCCTGAAGGAAGCAGCATGCCACCCACATTTGCCCGCTGCTTTCCCTTTTGCCTTCACATTTTCACGTCTTTGTAATCCCTGTAACAATAACAGCTAATATTTATTAAGCACATACCATGTGACAGACACGCTAACAAGTGTCTCTGAGAGAGGTGGTAAGGCTTAGATGAATTCGGATTTGCCAAGTGTTCAGAACAGCACTTGGCACGTAGTGTCGCATAAATATATAACTAAAATAAACCGTTTGTGGGGGGATGACATCTATGGTATACCATATGCCCAAATAGATCCCAGCTGAATTAAAAGTTAAATGCAAATAATGAAACTATGGGAGACGGGAGAAAATGCAGATCACTATTTAGAAAATCCTGGGGGAGAGGCCAAATGTGGTGGCTCACGCCTGTAATGTCAGCATTTTAGGAAGCCAAGGAGGAAAGATCTCTTGAGGCCAGGAGTTCAAGACCAGCCTGAGCAACATAGTGAGACCCTGCCTCTACAAAAAAAAATTCTTTAAATGGCGGTGTATGGTGGCGTGTGCCTGTAGTCCCAAACCACTCAGGAGGCTGAGGCGAGAGGATCTCTTGAGGGCTTTGAGGCTGCCATGAGCTGTGATCTTGCCACTGCACTCCAGCCTGAGCAACGAGTGAGACCTTGTATCCAAAAAAAAAGAAGGAAAGAAAACAAGAAAATATTGGGGTGAGAAAGGGTTTTTAATGTGTGACAGCCAAGGCAGAGACCTGCAGGGAATGATGACAATTAACCCCCAGAATCCAATTTCAAGACAACTCAGCTCAATGGCTATTCCCCCAAGGGCTCTCAGTAGCCTGCTCCCAGTCCTCTGGGATCTTGGCTGGCCTCTTGATGAAGGGCAGGTGTGTGGTGCTCACAGCATCTCAGCCAGCACTCCCCTGGGTCCTGTCCCAGGCCTCTGCTCCCTGAAGGCCTGGGGCGGGGCTGGGCTGCCCGGCTGCCTCCCTGCTCACTGCCCACTCTCTCCCCAGCCAACGGCCCCATTGCTGATGAGCTGCAGCAGGGCCTGCAGCCAGTGGTGGATCACGCCACGTGCTCCAGGAGCGACTGGTGGGGCTTCAGGGTAAAGGAGACCATGGTGTGCGCCGGGGGCGACGGCGTCATCTCAGCCTGCAATGTGAGTGGCTAGGTTCTGCACTTTTCCCTACTCCCAGTGGCCAAGTGGGCATGGGCAAAGGGGGGTGCAATGGGCCAAACACTTCCCCAGGAGGAGACTGAGCAAGCCCTGGCTGGGCCCAGCAGGCTCAGGGGAAGCCTATCACCCCCCAGCACTGTGGTGAGCGCATGAGCATTGAGCTTGACTAACTGAGTTCAAGCCCCAGACCCACCATTTATGAGCTGTGTAACCTTGGGAAGGCCATTGAAACTCTGACCTCAGTTTTTCCATCTGTAAAATGGAATTCTAGTAACTACTTCACAGGGTTAGGACTACATGAGTCTAAAGGACACAGAAGAGGCATCACTGAAGTCGCTACACATGTCCCTCCATGCCATTTACTCCACCAGTCCAGGGAGACCAGAACCATGAAACATCTAAGATAATCAGGGAATGTCCTGTTTTCAAACACATGGCCCTTTCCCCATTCTTGCCCTCCTTCCTCGCCTTCCCAGGCCTCCAGCACAGATGCCAGCATCCTCACTGCTCTGGGTAGCTCACAGAGTCTTAGACAAGGTGACATGAACAGCTAGGGAAACTGAGCCACGGAGAGGAATAACATCATCCCAAGATCACACAGGAAACCAAGAGCTAGTCGGACACCCCAGAGCCTCCAGAATGAGGCCAAGGCAGCCCCAAACACGTTTCCTCTGTCTCTCTCACCTTGGGCAGCCTGAGTCCAAAACTGTCTACTGAGGCTGAGAAAGCCAACCCAATCCCCCACCCACCCAGCCCTGCTCCCCAAACTGCCTCTCAGGGGCCTAGTGAAGGACTGATGCCCTCCTGGTCTGCTGCAGGGGGACTCGGGTGGCCCACTGAACTGCCAATTGGAGAACAGCTCCTGGGAGGTGTTTGGCATCGTCAGCTTTGGCTCTGGGTTGGGCTGCAACACTGTCAAGAAGCCTGTAGTCTACACCCGGGTGTCCGCCTACATCGACTGGATCAACGAGGTGGGTGCTGCCTCCACAGCTGTCTCTGCACCTGTCAGCCCCTCGCCCTTACTCACCCACTCCCTCATTCATTCATTCATGCATTTATTCACTCATTCAGTGATTCATTCATACACTTATTCAACATTCACTCTCTTTCAAGAAATATTGATCGAGTGCTTGCAGCAGCAGGCCTTGAGTTGAATGTCAATAAGGAAACAGTCATCAACTCCTCCATCCACTCATCCACTGCCTTCAGCAAATACTCACGTCCTCATCCAGGCTCCACACCCGTCTCTCCCCAAAACCGACCCCCTGAGGGTATAGCCCAGCAGAGGAGGGGGATGGTGTGGATGGCCACTTATCACCTTGAGGGTAGGGGAACAGAGGGGCACACTTAGCTGGGGGCATCCCTGCTGGGAAGAGCATGTGTTCCAAGCCCCATTTGCACAGTGGCCTGAAATGCCAAGGGGCTCAGACCCCTTGGACAGGGACAAGGCTGGCATGTTAAGGCGGGGGATTCCCCCACAGACCCACCCTCCGGGCGGAGCCTTGTACTGCCCTTGAAGGTGGCACAGCCCTGAGTCCCTCACACTGTTCTCTGCTCCTCCAGAAAATGCAGCTGTGATTTGTCGCTGGGAACGGCAGCAGCGAGTGCCTGCAACAGCAATAAACCTCCTTTCCCTCGAGCCGCCTGGGTCCTTGATTTGCGTCTGTTGCTTCCAGGCTCTGCTGCTGCCCCTTTCCACACTGTGGAGCCAAGGAGACACCCACCCAGCCAGCTTCCCCCACCCCGATTAGACAGGTGGGGAAAGAGAGGCCCAGGGAGAGGGCCTAGGAAGGAGCCTCCTGGGGCATTCATGGGAGGCAAGGGCTGGGGATGGAGATCCCAGGAAGTCTTCTGTGAAGCCGGAGGGGATGGGAGTTAAGGACACATCAGACACCTTCCCCACTCCACCTCACAAGCTGTGAGCCGGTGAGACCCTGATGAAACCATTCGCTTCTCTGATCCTACCTCCACTGAGGGGCCTGGTGGGTCCTCACAGCCCCCCAGCTGCAGGTGGAAGACAGAATGTCCCCAAAAGCAGCCTCCCCCAGCCCAGAGAGGCCAGGCCACAGAGGATGGCCAAAGCTCAGGGACAACCACTCCTGGGGAAGGGGCTCCCTGGCAGGGACCTTGCCCACCCCAGCCCACAGCACAGAGCCCACAGCTGCTGTTGGCCGGGGCTCTCTGCTTCGAGAAATGTTTAGTGAGCCAGCCTCTGTGTCCAGCCCTGTGCGGGGCATGGTGAGGGTACAGGAGAAGGCAGAGAGCCCAGCCCCACCCTCAGAAGATGTACATTTGAAGAAGGCAATGGATCCCACGCAGAATCACAGTGGTCAGAGCTGGGTATGCTTTCACTGCATTCGACAGGTCGGGGAACTGAGGCCCAGAGAGAAAGAGTTGGGACAGCCGGCAACACCTGATCCAGAAGTCTCAGGAGGAGAGAGTTCTCCTGAAGCTGACAAAAGGGCAAGAGGGGCCAGAGATGGGAGGGACCCAGTGTCCCGGCAGGGACGTGCCAGGAGGAACGGACCCTGATGATGGGGTCTCTGGGCTGGTGTGCTCCTGGGGATGCCCTGTTCTGTGGAGGTCCCACCAGCCCAGCCTCTGGACCCCTTGCAGGAGAGCCCTCGGCTGCAGCTGCCTCAGACTGGCACGAGAGTTGTCTCTTTTCTCCACCAGACTTTGTCCCCGAGAAGTGAGGGAGTCATGGCATGACTCCCACACCCCCATGATGCCAAGGCAAGTTTCAGGAAAGACTTTATTTACTCAACAAGTAACGGGGTCTACAGGGAGCCCAGCAGCCCCCCACCCCCCAGACCAGAATCCAGGGATAACAGGATCCCAGCTGTGCAGGAGACAGACCAGTAAATAGATCACTGAATTCCCTGGAATACATTTGAAAACAGAAATACAGTCCAGGAGCATAGGAAAGGGACACTTAAACCAGTGCCAGTTGATGGGAGGAGTCCAGGATGGCTTCCTGGAGGTAATGACACCCAAGACTGGTGGTTTCTTTGTTTGTTTGTTTTCGAGACTGAGTCTCGTACTGTCACCTGGGCTGGAGTGCAACGGTGTGATCTCGGCTCATTGCAACCTCTGCCTCCCTGGTTCACACGATTCTCCTGCCTCAGTCTCCTGAGTAGCTAGGATTACAGGTACACACCACCACACCCGGCTACTTTTTGGTATTTTTAGTAGGGAAGAGGTTTCACTATGTTGGCCAGATTGGTCTTGAACTCCTGACCTCATGATTCGCCTGCCTCGGCCTCCCAAAATGCTGGGATTACAGGTGTGAGCCACCACCACCAAGCTTGGTCTTAAAATTTGACTAGGAGGTACCTAAGTTCAGAAGGTAGTTCTGTTTGCTTAATTCAAACTTCATTCCCAGCTAACTTCTTTACTTTTCTTTTTTTTTTCTTTTTGAGATGGAGTCTCGCTCTGATGCCCAGGCTAGAGTGCAGTGGCGTGATCTCAGCTCACTACAACCTCCGCCTCCCAGGTTCGAGCGATTCTCCCACTTTGGCTTCCCAACTAGCTGGGATTACAGGCACATGCCACCACACCCCACTATTTTTTTTTTTTTATTTTTTTTTTTTTGTATTTTTTTAGTAGAGATGGGATTTCACCATGTTGTCCAGGCTGGTCTCAAATTCCTGAGCTCAGGTGACCCGCCCACCTTGGCCTCCCCAAGTACTGGGATTACAAGCATGAGCCACCACACCCAGCCTCATTCCCAGCTGTCTTCTTTTGTGTGTATCTTTATATTGGGGGTTATAAATGCTAAATGCTTGTTGTCCTCAGATTCCTTGTAGTTACAGAGCTATAGGACTCCATTCTGGCCTATAATGTTTAATAATTAAATAACATCTAACATTTATCAGGCACTTAGTGTGTGCCAAGCACTGTTCTATAGCTTTTACATTATCTTAATCCCCAAAAACAACCCTATGAGGTAGGTTAATATTCACATCATGCCCATTTTACAGATGAGAAAACTGAGGCCAGAGAGGGTTGTTAGTGCTTCCCAACGTTTAACTAGCAGTTGGTGGAGCTGGGATCCAGACTTTGGTAATCTGGCTCCAGGGCCCGTGCTCTTGTACACTATGCTCTGCTGCCCTGCAGTGTAAAACGTCCTCTGGAAAAACAAAATCTTTTCTGATAAGAAGGATCTGACATAGCTGATGCTGCCTCTTCCCTTTCTTCCTTTCTTGAATATGGATGCAATGCCTGGAGCTGAGGCAGCCATCTTGTGGCCAAGAGAATTACAGAGATGTCAGCTTAGACCTCATCAAGCTGTAGATGCAATGCCAGCCACCATTTTCCTCCGAATGTCTTGCTATGCGAAAAAAAAAATCCATCTGCATTTGTTTTAGCCACTGAAGTAGGTTTTCAGTTACTTGCTAATCAGTTCACTGGGGAATAGAAGGGGTCACTTTCCAGTGGAGGGAACAGTATGAACAAAGCATAGCGACTGCGTGACTCCGGTGTTGCCAGAGCATAAAGTCAGGGGCAGGGGCAGAGTGACCAATTGTCCTGGTTTCCCCGGACTGAGTTTTCCAAGACACAGGAGTTTCAATGCTAAAACTGGAAGAGTCCCAGGCAAACCAAGACAGTTGGTCACCCTGGCAGGGAGGGACAAGAGACAAGGCTGGAGAGGAAGCAAGTGCCCTTCACAGAGGGCCCCTTGTACAGTGGTAGGGGCAGCTAGGTCTTCATGCTGAGGGCAGTGGGAAGTGGCCACTGTTGTCCGATGTATACACTAAAGTGTCCATCTGACCGCTGTGGGGAGGGTGGTCTGGAGCACACAAAAGTGGAGGCAGGGAGGCCAGTGAGGAGGCTGCTGCAGCAGTCTAGGCCAGAAATAATGCAGCCTGGATGGAGGTGGTAATGAAAAGGAGAAAAGGGAGGTATTCAGTAATTATTATTATTATTATTATTATTTTGAGACAGGGTCTTGCACTGTCGCCAGGCTGGAGTGCAGTGGCGCAATCTCAGCTCACTGCAACCTCCACCTCCCGGGTTCAAGTGATTCTCTTGCCTTAGCCTCCTGAGTAGCTGGGATTACAGGCACATACTACCACGCCCAGCTAAGTTTTGTATTTTTAGTAGAGACGGAGTTTCACCACGTTGGCCAGGCTGGTCTAGATCGCTTGACTTCATGATCCGCCTGCCTCAGTCTCCCAAAGTGCTGGGATTACAGGTGTGTGCCACCACGCCCAGCTAAGTTTTGTATTTTTAGTAGGATGGGTTTTCATCATGTTGGCCAGGATGATCTTGATCTCTTGACCTCGTGATCCGCCCCCAAAGTGCTGGGGTTACAGGCGTGAGCCACTGTGCCCGGCCTCAGTAATTATTTAAGAGGCACAATTGCAGTATTGAGCAGCAGGCTCCCAGCCCCACAGCTACATAAACTTCCATGAATCTGATTAATTATCAAAACCACTATTTGTCAGGAGCTAGGCATGGTAGCATAGACCTGTAGTCCCAGCTACTGGGAAGGCTGAGGCAGAAGGAATGCTTGAGCCCAGAAGTTCGAGACCAGTGTGGGCAACATAGTGATCCCCCGTCTCTACAAAAAGTACAAAAATTAGCCAGGTGTAGTGGCATGTACCTGTGGTGGCAGCTACTTGGGAGGCTGAGACAGGAGGATCACTTGAGCCCAGGAGGTCAAGGCTGCAGTGAGCCATGATCATGCCACTGCATTCCAGCCTGGTCAACAGAGTGAGACCCTGTCTCAAAAAAAAAAAAAAAAAACCACCCACCACAAAAATTACTATTTGTTAGCTCATACATGGTGAAACACAACCCACAGTTCAGTTTGTTCAACAGGAGTGTAAAATTTGGCGAGGCATGTGGCTCATGTCTGTAATCCTGGCACTTTGGGAGGCCATGGGGGTTGGAGCACCTGAGGTCAGGAGATCGAGACCAGCCTGGCCAACATGTCAAAACCCCATCTCTAATAAAAATACAAAAAATTAGCGGGGCATGGTGGCAGGCAGCTACAATCCCAGCTACTCAGGAGGCTGAGGCAGGAGAATGGCTTGAACCTGGTTGGGGGGGGTGGGGGCGGGGGTGGAGGTTGCAGTGAGCCAAGATCACACTACTTCACTCCAGCCTGGGTGAAAGAGTGAAACTCCATCTCAAAAAAAAAAAGAGGTAAAATTCTCAGCTTTGGGGACAAGATCCACCATTGTGCCCAAGAATCAATGCCTATGTATGGTAAACAGAATATGCTCCCTGCAAAAGATGTCTATATCCTAATTCCCAGAACCTGTGAACATGTTACCTTACTTAGCAAAAGGGATTTTTCAGATATGATTAAATTAAGGGTCTTGCCGTGGAGTGACCATCTTGGATTATCTGGGTGAGCTCTGTGTAATCAATAAGCGTCCTTAGAGGAGGGAGACAAGAGGGTCAGGGTCAGAGAGAGATTTGAAGATGCTGTGCTGCTGGCTCTGAAGACAGAGGAAGGGGCCACGAACCAAGGAATGCAGGCCGCCTCCAGAAGCTGGTAGAGGCAAGGAAATGGATTCTTCTCTAGACCTCCAGAAAGAAACAGTCCTGCCAATACCTGGACTTCAGCCCAGTGAGACAAACTGTGGAGTTCTGACCTCCAGAACTATAAGATAATAAATGTGTGTG